TTTGTATGCAAATGAAGGATCGAAAAGTGACGTTCAGTGATTGGATAGTTTTAGAAAATGGCAACAGTTGCATTGTTCTGGAGCTCTATATAAGCAGGCTGAGCTCCTCAGCCTAGTTCTGTTCTGGCATCTGAATAAAGAAGAGCTGTTTAAAGAATCGCTGTGTCGTCTGACATGTTCGTCCACAACTTAGCACTGGCGACGAAGGTGGGATCGATGGACATCAGAGCACAGCCAGATGCAGCCACCCTCTGAGCAGAGCTGAATCACTGAGCTGAATCACTGAGCAAAATCACTGAACAGAACCAATTCGGAGCTGACTGTTCTGGCTAGAGCATGGTGTTCCATCCATCGCCCTTCTCGCCGGCATTGGAATCATGGCTTCACTTGTGCCTCTACCGCTGTTTGCGCCAGCTTCTGAATCATGGGACTCCTACCTCGCTCGGTTCGACTGCTACCTCCAAGCCAGCAAGCTGACAGAAGTATCAAAGGAGCGGAAGCGGGGCCTATTCCTCAGCCTCTGTGGGCCTGAGGTGTTTGAGACAGCCCGAGCATTGGTTGCGCCTGAAGCAGTCCAGGCAACACCGTGGGACACGATCCAAGAGAAGCTCCGCAACCACTACGCACCAAAGCCGTCCAAGATTGCTGCCCACCATGCGTTTTACCACCGGAACTAGGCAGAGGGGGAGTCAATCAACAACTTCACCACCGCCCTGCGACAGGCTGCAATGCCCTGCGAGTTCCGAGACTTAGACGATGCCCTGATGGATTGAATTGTCTGCGGGGTCCGGGACATCCATCTGCAACGGGTCTCCTCGCCAAGCCAGACCTCACGCTGCAGAAAGCCATTGAGGAGTCTGTGGCCTCGGAAGCTGCTGAACCAGGAGATCAGTAGCAAGTGCAGTTAGGCCAGAATTGGTTGTTATAAGCCATCTAGTCCCAGTTAGTAATCTAGCCTCTGAATTCTGCCCTTGCTGGAGAAATGTCTTCAGAGGCAGCCCAGATATAAAAAAGTGCAACAATTGAACCTAAAGGTTACCAGAGAATGGGCAACTGAAACAAGTGTGAAGGTTCATGTAGTGTGCATTATTTGAGATTGACAGATACAGTTAATGGTTTCAGATTGATACAGTACAGTACTATATAGCCAAATAGTGAGTATCTTTTGATTTTCTCTTCAAATCATATTAGATAGGTTACCTAGGGATTTTTGTATTTGGAAACAACACCTCTGAAACAGACACTATATAGAAACTACTTCATGTAAATGTTTTTTTTTCATGAAAAAGGTGCAAACTTGTGTTTCTACTGTCCTGCCCGCCAAGCTTTAAGTTCTCCTAAGGAGTCCCTTCTTAGTGCCACATTTCTCAGAGTTGCACATTATGTGCAGCCTCTCTTTACTGTGTCTCTACGTGCTGCAGGCTTCCTCCACCAACAATACGGTAAAGGACCTTCCTCATGGTGGTGTCCCACTTCTGGAGTGCATCCCCCTCTGAGGTGTGACTGGCGCCATATCCCCTCATTCCAGTTCCATCTTAAAATGTGGTGGTTTTCTCAAGCATTTTGTTGTTCAGAATGTTGTGTGTTGCCCCACCACATGGTTAATTGTACAGATTATCCTGTTTCAGTTATTTTTACTTAGGTTGTCTTCACACCATACATTTAAAGCACATAGCTCCCCCCCCCTTCCAAAGCATCATGGAGACTGATGTTTACTCCTCACAGAGCTACAGTTCCCAGCACCCCTAACAAAGTACAGTTCCCAGGATTGGTTTGACAACACTTACATCTCGCCCCAGGTCCTGGGTGCCAATTAATGCAATGTAAAAGATATGCAATGGATTTTGGATAAATCCATTCAAATGTTTAAAATAGCTAAGAATATATCCAGTTAACACACATTCTTTGTTAGCATGCAGATGTTATATACTATAGTCATTCTGTTTTTACCATGACATCCATGAGATATTTGATAGGGTTTGATTGATTTTGCAAGATTCTCATTAAGATTGGCTGCTAAGCATTAGCAGCCCAGGCATGTGAACATAATCTGAAGTCTTGTGTGAGGGAGAAAAATCGGCCACTTTTCTTACAGAATACTAATGAGACCTGTTCTATAGCGTGCAGCCATTTTAACTGTCTTACCCTTTCACTAGTACTAATAAAACACAGAGAGAAATAGTGTGGTGTTTTCAAATGAACATTCCTTAGCTTGAAGTGTACGTCGAGTTCTTATTAACCTTGGTAAAATGCTTTTCACTCCACAGGTAATCCAAGAAAGAAAAATGTTCTTTGTAATTCTTTTGCTTTGCGCTTTCGTTCCTACCCATGCTTGGGCTTTGGATGAGTGATTTCTGCTGAACTGGAAAAATTCAGATTCTTTACTACCAGGAAAGAAACGGAGAAAGCTAGTCTTTGTTTTAGTTTGTTGATAGCTCTATGGGATTCTAAATAATAGATCTCTGCCCAGGGAGTAGGCATCCCATGGAAGCATTTGAATTTAAGAGCTGGAGCCAAATTTAAGTGTGGAGCAAATAGCAGAGTTGGTTAGAGCACGGTGCTGATAACACCAAGTTTACAGGTACTATGCCCATATGGAAAAGTTGCATATTCCTGCATTGCTGGTAGTTGGACTAGATGATCCTCAGGGTCCCTTCCAGTTCTACAATTCTATGAAGATGGTTTATCCAGCAGCTCCCCATATGACATCTGGTGGTGGGACCTGGGAGGTAGATGTAATTCATTTATCATGAAGGATAAAAGGATGGGAAAGGGGGAAATTCTCCTCCCTGAGAGCTAGTAACTTGAGTTTTCAACCCATCTGGAATTTTTCTTACTAGGTGGAACAATGTGTGCATGCTACCACATTAACTATTATGACTTAGAGAGCTATATTAGGGGTTGTCCTGCAAGAGCACTGTAGTTTGTGAACTGTCCTATTCTGCTCCCCTGATATTCCTTGCAATACAAACTCCCTTCTTCACCTTCCATCTGTCATAATGATGGACATTTAGCTCCTTCTTTAAATAGTTGTCTGTTTTATGTACCATAACAAAGACATTTCTAGCTGTTTTCACATGTATGTGAGAGATGGGTATCAGAAAAAATTAAGTTGGTGTAAGAATCAAATTAATGGGTTTTGTTTATAGACTTCAGTGTAGCTAAAGTATATTTGAGATAGGAAAATGTGTTGTGCATGCATGCACATGTGTCTGAGATGGCACAAATTTACATAAAATTTGCATATGGTGATTTATAGGTATGGTTGGTGGTTTAGGCCAGTTTTCAGAGGGGGAGGAGGAACTCTGGCTCTTGTTGTTATGGCTTACTCTGAGCTATTGGGTGCCAGCAGTATTTTCTGGGTCCCATACACCGTTATGTAGACTGGGCCCTCAACTTTGTTGACCATCTTACCTGCAACAAGTGGTTTTTTTATGGACATATTAAAGCTAAAAAAAGTCTTCTTCAACTTCTAACATGCCCCTTCCCCACCCTCATATCCCTGCTTCTCCATCGCAACCAACTACTGCATGTACCTGTGGGCAAAGTAAGGCACAAGTAGTTGGGTCTCATTGGCACTGTGCTTTGCCAGGTGCTCAGCCTCCCTGTAGGCAAAATGTTTAAATTAAGTTTTCTTTTAAAGGGTGGAGTGAGAAGAACACAAGATCTGGGGCCGAACCCAATGGCCCTGGGCCACCCTCCACTAAAGTTCCCATGGAAAGCATTGGCATATGACCGGAGTGAAGGGTCTGTCTGTCAACATTGCAGCACGTGTTGAGTAGCACTGGTTGGAATTCTACCCCCTGTATTATGCACTAACTGCAATCTTTGGCCCATCTTCAAGGGCAGCTCCATGTAGAACACATTGTGTAGTTATTGATAATTCTCTGACATGCAAGGAGTCGCATAAACAGAGGGTTACCAGAGCGTGAACACTGTATTTCCCCATTGGCTTGTACAAAATGTACAAGCCACATTAACCTCTAGGCTTGGGCTGATGGGTTATCAATATGGTGATGATCACAACCAGGAAACAACTCAGCTCAGCCAGAGCCAGCAAGCCCTATGCACTGACCTATTAGCCTAAAACTGTAATAACGGTCCAGATCTCAGAGCCAAGTTGCACCTCTAATTGCAGGATGTGCTTTTACCAGCAGCATGAAGGCATCATAAATCAGAAACATAATGATTAAAATAAGGACGCTAAAGTCTTTTAAAGTTGCGTATGACGGTTTTCGTGCAGTGAGCACATTCTTGATGAATTGAATTCCCATCCCTTAAAATGAAAAGCCAATAATAACAATTCTTTTCAGTTTTAATGATAAACAGAAATCATTTGCTTGACCTTTCTTCTCACTTGGCAATCTAACACGCAGTAATCGCAAGCAGTGATAAATTACTCTAGACTCTTGCTGTTCTTCTTTTCAGCTGATAAGAAGTTGAAGGTAATGTGTTTGGGATCTCCATGCTGTTGTTGCAAATCTCTACTTTAAATTTAGGCCTTTTTGTAATCAAAACCCACAGGAAGAGAAAGAGCACAAAAATGAAGAGGAAGAGGAATGTGTCGCCAAACAAGAAATCGGAACAGAATCTTCGGGGTGTGGAACAAGAAGGAAGCTCACTCCTTCTTAGTTCAGATATTGCTTTTTTGTGAAGTGAAGGTGGAGTGAAGCATCTAATGTCGCTAATCAACGTGTTCCCCGTTTGGTCTTCTAACCAGTTCTTCAAGTACATAATTCCACAGTCGCAATGCCACGGATTGCTAGATAAATTGATGATACGCAGTGCCTGAAGATTATCAAACGCTCCTGCAGGTATTGTTTCCAGATTGTTGTTCTGGAGGTACAGTTCTTGGGCTGAACTGGGTAGAAGTGGAAGAGTTGCCAGCTCTCTGAAGCCACAGTCCACTTTCAGTGGGTTGTGATCAGGTGGAGAGCATGTACAAGGGTGCGGACAGGAGTTTGCAGACGTGGCTTCAAGGAACAGAAGTATCAGTAATCCTATTCCTTGACTTGTGACCATTCTGAAAGTTGAAATCATGGCATCAGCGCAAAGAAATAAGTCACAGCACATTCATGAATGTTGTACTAATGTATAGTATTTCAAAGAGTTTACTTTAACAGGAAATAATGCCTCTCCCCTCCCCGTTCTATACTTTTGCAGCTGAATCAGTTGTTCCCTTCTCCTATAAAGGGAGGCTTCAATAGTGGCTGATATAGATTTCCTACACTTTCCTATCAAAACAGCATGAAACTTGCATATAGATAGTCTTCTGTATTCAACACAAAGTGACATGGGTGCATGCCATTGTATACTCTCTGGTGTGCTCTTGCCACTCATAGTCTACACATAGGTTTTGCACACTTCAGTTGCAGTTTCATCTCCCATGTAGGAAGTCTTAGGCATGTGGGCATCCATGGGGAAGGGGAAGATTACTTTGGAGGGAATAATTTATTGTTTGTTTTACCAGGCCATCGCTGAAACATCAGATTGAGGATCAGTTTAACTTTTGATTTAATGTTTTCCTCTATGGAACGTTTTGGAATTATCTCTGGTGGGCATATCCAAGGAGACCACTGCCAGAGTGGGGGAGAGAGAAGGGGAAGGGGAAAAACATTCCTTACTCTGAACTACATCTCCGCTTCCTGTTCCTTATGGGCTATCTCTTTTATAACTAAATACTAACCTCTGAAGGGACAAGAAGAGTCCTTCTCCAAATGTGGGATTAGACTCGAGAATCTTGTCTGAAGAAAGCAGATTTCAGGGCGTTGGTGGAGCTTGCTGTCCAGAGGTGGCGAACCTGAAGCTTTCTGTAGACAATTGATAATAATTTTATATATCACACATTTCATATGTAAGCATCACCATCTTACACATTTCGAAGAACAGTGAGTGCAGGAAATGAGTCAAGATGGCAGTTCAAACTAGCATCCCTCTTCTCCATGCACTAAATAGATGTGCCTGTTTACAGATTTGTTGATGGTTGCAAGCTTCACTGCAGTGTTTGGACCAGATAGATTAACATCTTAGAAGAGAGAGTTTTTAACTTTTGTCCAGTAAACTTCTTTTAATTCAAAAGACTGAGTTTCCTTGGGTATAAACAGAAAATCCCACACCATGTTTGCAGGACATGTGGGACTGATCTAAATACAACAAAGCCTCACATACAATAATGCCCTGTGGGCTAGTTTTTCAAATTATGGAAGGGTGTCCTATGGGGTTGGAGGAGGGACACATGGGAGGCATGAAGATTTAGCTAGGGAGAGGATCCTATGGCCAGTACAGCCTACCTTAGGATAAATTGCAGCTTTGTGCCCAATTGTATTTTCCTGCATAAGACAAAAGCAAAGCTGCCCTGTTCCGTTGTTCTTGTAATGACAATGTTGGAAAACTATCCTGTCTACATCACTTAGCACATGGCAGTGAGCTGCGCATATAGACCCACATGCTTACTCATGGAACTGATGGGGAGTTCTGGGTATGGAGGCAGGCAACAAACAGAAATTTTGAGAAGCATTCTGCTAAGGCCAAGTGGTGGTCCTAGCATGGTTTTCCCTACCCAGGTTAATAGATGGTAAACAGAACAGGATGAAGAAACAGTCACAGATTGTTCCTGGTTCTAAGGAAGGAGGGTATCAGAGAGGAGCTCAGCACCCTGCTAACAAACTTTGAGCACCACCCACCCCACTTTTGAGAACATCCCTTAATTTCTTGTGTTCTTTCACTTTTTGATGCAGCAGCAGTTCCTGCTGTGTTCTCCAAAGAGAGCTAAAGGCTTATCTGTAGCAAATGAGCAGGAAAACCTTGTGATGCATGAAATGCATAGAACAAACCTTTCATAAGATCTAATTATGTACCATATCGTGAATGTAAACGTTAAAGGAAATTAAAGCCATTAATGTTAAATTACCCCCTGTGTTATGATTTATGCATGCTCCAAACATGTTGATTGTGGTTGGTTCGTTTTATAAAGGAGATCAGTTTGTTTATTTTCACTGGAAAAAACCTAGGTACTTTTATCCAAGTGAAACCAAAGTACTTTACACAGTAGCATTTAAACTGTCAGTTACCCAAATCAATGGGTTGCTAAAGAAACAGTACTTGATTTGAATAATAATTTCAGGTTATCCTTCTATATTACTCTGGGCCATTAATTTTGTCAGTTAACAACCAAATTCAAAGCCTTTTAAAATACTGAGATGCCCTACAGTATACAATGAAGAACACCGTCTTTAAAAAAACAGAAAAAAAAGATCAAGAAAGGGAAAACCGCTTAAAATATTCAAACTTTTTCTTTGCTACTATGGGAATGCAGGTCCCTTTAAAAAAAATAAACTAAACTTCTTGTGCTTTTCTCTCATTATTTCTGCTATGTGTGGATATACCATAGGGTTCATTTGGACACCATGTCATGGACAGCACAGAGAGCATGAGTGCGGCTACTGCAGAGAGAAAATATGCATAGAGATACTGGCACTTACCTCAAGTCCAAAACACATGAGGAGATCAATCTGTTTACAGCTCTGCATTCTTTTATTTTTGGTTTTTTAGAGTATTTATGTTGATTTAGACAGCAGGATTCACTGCACACTCTTCAGTGCGTACGAGAAGGTAGAGTTGGTCAGCAGACTACTTGAGGGGCTTTTCGCAAATCCCTTGGAGAAGCCTTTTTCTGTATGTTCCATTTTATATCTATGCCATAGTAATTTCTTGCCTTTCTGCAGGTTGTGGCAGCAAGGACTGTAATCAACAGCATGCACTGTGCAGCTGGAGTTGATTGGCTGCGTGGGAAGTGGCCCAGTGCTCTTGAAAGAAGTGGCTGGGCAAGATAAGCTGGTGACGCTCCCTCCATCCTCTTTCAGAGCCTGTTAGCTCCTGCTCTGGAAGGATTCCCCCAGATAAAGGCACAGTGGTTCCCACCTGATAAGAAGAATTCTGCTTACTGGAAAGACTGATGCTCTACAATGACTTCTGCTAAGACTTTCATAAGAAGACTTGTTTCCAAAGAAATACTGTCACATTCACCATTCTGCACCATATTCATTTCTGGCCTTTCAACAGCTTCCACACACAGAAGTCTTCTCATTCGTTCCTGGGCTAGTCCATCATCACAGCCATGGAAGATGGCAGGATCCCCAAGAACGTGCTCTTTGGGGAGCTGCCTTCAAGCACCAGGGCTCTTGGCAGACCAACTCTGTATTACAAAGGTGTCTGCAAACGTGACATGAAGGCTGGCAAATTTAACCTGGCCATGTGGGAATCCATTGCAGATGACCACAGTGCCTGGAGACAGACAGACAGGTTGTGTACCCACAGCAGAGGAGGAGGAATGACTGCTGGGAGGAGCACAGAGAGAATAAATGCACCTGTAGCAGCAAAACCTTCATCTGCCCCCCACTCCAACAAAACACCTGTATTGGTTTCTATAGCCACAGCAGGTGCTGTAACCTTCCAATGGTTTGACTTCACCCCCAAAGGCGCACTCCTCCATTGTCTCACAAGACAGATGGATGTCAACCAATTATATATATTTTAGGAACTGTGTGTTTATCCAAATGCAGCTAGGCTCCAAAGGATACGATTCTATACTCAATTATTTGGCAATAAATGCAGGACATTAGTAGGACTTACTTCTCAGCTGACATGTGTATGACTGTGCTGTCAGTTGTTTAAAGAGTCTTAAAGGTAAAGGGACCCCTGACCGTTAGGTCCAGTCGCGGATGACTTTGGGTTTCTGCGCTCATCTCGCTTTACTGGCTGAGGGAGCCAGCATACAGCTTCCGGGTCATGTAGCCAGCATGACTAAGCCACTTCTGGCAAACCAGAATTAAATTAAAGATTCTTAGAGAGCCCTAATTATTACAGAAATTGGCACAGATGTAGGTTCAGTATTTCATCCACGCTGCAAACAGATATCAAGGTTTCCAGACTTTTGGATCCTTGATTCTGATCCGGTGTCCCTGCCTCTGCCTTTTTTTTTACTTCCTCAATTGGATTTCAGCTGACAACTGCTAGAAAAAATCTGATGATCACCCAACAATCAGCAGTGGTGACATTTTGACTTTTTCATTTTTAGATTTTTGGCTTTCTGTTCTGTCTGCCTTAAAAACATTATAGCACTTTAAAACACAATGGCACTTTAAAAAAAATGTATTTCAGTACAAAATTTAAAATAAACATTTCACCAAAATGGTGTGTTCAGGCACATTGACCCTCCCTATATGATGCCTACTGGCATGGACAGAACCTTGCATGATGCACATACATTGACTTTCCACATTTTGGTGGCCATAGCCATTTTCAATTCCACATGTAGCTTACCATGGAAGAGCAATGACTAGGTAGTATTAAAAGACCCAATCTGGAAGCACCCCTGCTGTTGATAAGAGAGAGTTCCTACTTCAGAAATGGTGGACAGAATCCCTACTCATGGAGCAGCCACTCACTTCTTCACCCAATACCCTTTTCTTAAATTCAGGTATTATGCCATCCTCATAAGAGCTCTTGTGAAATAATATGGGTCACTGCCATAGCATCCTCTGAAACCAGAGGAGGGGAACCTGTGGCCCTCCAGATGTTGTTAGGACTCCAACTCCAGCCAGCCCCATCCTTGCTCTGAAATATATCGGGAATTAAGTGAGAACTCAGCAATCCCCCCCTCTCTCTGTGTGTGTGTGTTTAAGTAATGAAACTGGAAAAAGAATAGCTGTGGAAACATGCCACAGAACTTGCTGAGCGTGAGCTACCAGCATGCTTTATTTAAACCAACAAACACCTTGCTCGTTTTTGAGGATTTATGTCCTCTTAAATAACAAAAGGCATCCTGGTGCATCCTAATAAAGCCAGCATGGTGTCTTGAAGCAGGGGGTGTACAGACCGTTACAACTGTAAACTCATAACTAACATTATTGCAAGCAAAGTCACTATTGGGCTTAGTGGTTAGCAACAGTATGCAATGGATGAAGACTCATCAGTAAAGAGTACTAAAGTTTCAGTGACAAAACCATGAAATTCAGTCATCCATTTCCTGAAGACAGACGTTCTTAAAAGACAAATACTTTTAGAACTGGTGTTCTCTATTCAGAATATATTCGTGGGGTAAATGATACATTAATACACACCATAAATTCTATCCCAAATAATCATTTGATATCACAGCAGGCTTTTGGTTGGGCTCTAAAATAGTTTGCTATAGGACATTAATAAATGATGCAACATAAAAGAGATATAACAGCAAACTGAGCTCTCTAATCCAGATCCTTTTTAGGCTAGAGCGTGAGTTTAAGGTTCTAAATTCTTTGGCCTGGTACCTAATTTAGTTTGAGATTAACTTAAACTCTATTTTTTCATATGCATAGCTCTGTGTGCATAGCAGTGATATTATTAATTATCTTTGGGAATGTTTATACGGTTGAGTGCCACAGCAGCAGAAGCCATGGTGCATGAGAGCACATTTCCATTACCCCATGCTATGGTATTCGCACATGTAGTAATAATTACTACATAATTATTTACACAGCTAACAGAATTTGGTTATCCTTGGTTTCACCCCAGTGGCTCACAGAAACATCAAGGGTAGAGTGTGGGTATTGCCATTTGGGAAAACGTAAAGTAACTACATACATTGAACAAGTTCTTATGTAATCAGCAAGAACAAACAGAATATAACTGGTGCTATTTCTTTAGCCTAAGGGACATTTAGTCATGGCTCTGTATGTGCTTGGAGCCTGAACAAACACAACCTTTTAAACAGATGACTTTGGTAATCTTACTGAAGAGCTATTAGTCACTGCAGCAGATCATTTTGATTTCTGTTTTTCCAGGTCATGAATCTGCAGCAGTGGGACTTCAAAAGGATGTAGCTTCCTGGCAGCTTGGGAAGTTAATTTTTTTGAGTATTGTAGAATGCACCTTGCTAAAATTAAGACAATAATTGCCACAAAAATAAGAGCAAAGTCTCTCCAAAAGAAATCAAGGCATTTGATTGGTTGAGGCTTCCTACATCCTTCCAGTTCATTCCCAGTCAGCTGACTCAAGGCTCTCGATTTTACAGAAGCCGGAGATGCACATTGAAGGTTGGCAAGAGAAGCGTTACTGAAGTCTTCCAGCCACTGCTTGAAATATAAAATAGAGCAGTCACAGTGCCAAGGGTTGTTGGAGAAATCAACTTCTTTCAGGTAAATTAAGTTGTCCAGTGCACCAAGAGGAACTGTCGTTAAACTGTTGTTTTGCAGATGAAGAATGTTGATGGTATGGCACGAGTGACATAATTCTGATGACAGGGGAGGCATTTCCTTCAGCCCCATAGAGCTGCAGTTTAATATCCAACCCCTTAGGTCTTCCTGCTGCTCACACAAACAGGGAGGGCAGGGCTTGGGTTGAGCTGTGCTTAATAACAGTAGCATGACCAGTATCCCAGCATTGGAGGAGATCTTTACTTTGTTCATGATCGCAGCTGTGGGACAAGAATATGAACAATGCAATTTGTTGCTCTGTCTTTTACAGCAAAAAAAAATAATGCAAAATTTTGCCCACTGGATTCTACCAATAGATATTCTAGAATTTCTTTGAAATATGCTGCACAAATTGCTCCTATACAATATATGGCATTCAGCATCCTCAAATGATATGGGAAAGTGGCAACAAGAGATGTAGAAGAGACTCCTGTTGCTTTTGTATAATGTTCAGGGTTACCCCAAGTATTCCAGATCTTCATGGACTACAGTTCCCATCATCCCTGACCATTGATTATGCTGTCTGGGGTTGATGGGAGTTGTAGTTCAGCAACATCTGGAGGGCACTACATTAACTCCCTCTTATTTTAGAAAATGGTGTTGCCCAGAGTACATGGCTAAATATGGGGGGGGGAGAGAATATTGGAATAGCAACTCATCTGGTCAGTGGTTTTGGTTCAGGAACTTGATTTTCCATTGAAATATCAAGGTAACAGAGGATAGAAGATGATCAGTGTCTGGTGTACCAGCCACTGATTCTTGCCTTTCCATATGTTCAGAAGTGCTAGGATGATTTCTTTGCACTGTTCAGATTCCTCATTTTATTCAGATCAGTTGCTGAGCAGTCAGAAGCTTCAGTGTTCTCATTTGTGGCCATTTGCCAAAAAAAATACTTTAAAAAAGATACTTCATGTTTAGAAGAAGCTGGTTTTATATAGGGTTGAAACTTCAGATCTTCCTACAATATGCATATAATGACTTATTGAACTAGTTTCCTGAACATGCCAAACTATGAAGAAAGACTCACTGCAGGGTATCTTTCTGTATCATATTATCATGTGATGAGGATTTTAGTTTTACCATGCATTAGATGGAGATGTAGGTTAAAGTGGTTGTTTGTATTTATCTACTTCTCTCCAAATTACCCTATTTTCCTTTCTCCTCATCTTTCTCTGTTCTGTCTCTGAGGGCCGACTCACACATGCGTGCTCACCATATGACTGCAGTAGCACCATAGTGATTTTCAAGTATGAATGGATGCATCACAGATCAAGTATAGATAGAAATTCCATAGCACCTGATTGATGGTACTTTAAATGCACAGCTTTCCAATGAAGTCAACACGCTGAGCTGAAGTGCTGAATTATCAAGTGTTCACAAGAATATGCAAAACCAGCCTGGAGTTCTATGCCATTTCTCTTGTGCCCATCCTTACATTTTATTAACAAATAGCACTTTACATTACCTGAACACCCTGGTCCATCTTGTTGTGCTAAAAAAAAAAAAAAGTGTTTGACTAGTTGTGCCAGAATGAAGATTGCCAACCCATTGAAAGCACTGTAGTGCAGATAGATGGTGTTTGCTAAATTTTTATTCTGATATGCATTGGAATTACATCTATGGTTCCTGATCCACTAACATATATGCATGCTTAAGCCTGCTTATATGCATGGATCTATCTCCTTAGCTGGATGGGGGCATTTGTATATAGTGGTTGTTTCTTATAGATGTCACACAAAATGCAATGAGTCTAATTTTGGCAGGGTAAATGTGGAAGTGTGTGTGTGTGTGTGTAAGAGACACACACAGAGAGAGACATCGCATGGTACTGTTGAAATAATGACATAATTACTTCACAACAAGCAGAACTTAGGGAATATAATTCAGCTTACATTATCACCCTGCCAGCTCAATAATGTAAATTGTCTCTAAGCATCTTTCAACAGAATAGTCACATATATAAATACATTTCTAAGCACAATGAGTTGGATCAGGGTAAAAGAGGAAGATCCAACAGAAACATCAGTTTTTGACCATTATGTTTAGGACAGCTTTCCCCAGCCTGATAGAGTATTATTTTCAGCCTTTTAAAAGTCGTTGGGGGAGCGTACATACTGAAGGTGTAATGAAAGTTATCTACTCTGGTATAGAAGGGTCTTTTAAAGTTCATCTCTATCATTGTGAAAAATATAGGTCATGTTTCCTGAGCCACAAGTTTTATTATTACATATATTAGGCAGAGATTTAAGTTGAAGAAAACAAGTTTATAGCACACACTTCTGAAATGAAATGCTTTAAATGTGCTGAAAGCCACATATTTAAGGAAATAACCGGCTTTTATCTCTAAAAGTGGGCAATTCACCAGATCGGCATCACCACATTTACTCCAGAGCTTAATTTTATATTGGTGAGAACAAGAGTTATAAGCTTAGTAAAGCCCAGTAAGGGTCAAACTTGGCAATATGTTAATCATGTCCTTAAGCACATGAATTTTCTTTCAAAAATAGCTAGCACAGGGACCCAGCCCAGATTAAGACCCGGGCACAGGCATTAGTGGGCTTTAACCCTTGGTCTCCCATTGTGGCCCCAGTCTGGTCAGAGGGCCATGCCACCTCGTTGAGTTATGTAGCCATAACAGTGAACTAATCATACACTCCATCCCACTTATGGGCATAGCTGGGGGGGGGCAGGGGGCAGCTGCCCCCCTAGATCAAGTAAAACAATAGAAATACTTAACTAAGTGACCAATCACGTCAGTTCTGCCGACCCTAACAAAAATCCTGGCTACACCCAAGATACCACTGCAGTGGTTTTCTCCTGGAATACTGATAGCTCACAAAAAACAACAGTAATTTGTGTGTGTGAATCTATCCAAGGAGAGAACTTGAAATGAAAACTAGTGGAAAATGAAAAGAGAGCTTCCAACTGCCAAATAGAAGTAGCAACAAATGCTATGCAGCAGAGAATCCTGTGTGATTTAATAAGAAACTTAAGTAATGCCAAGTTTTCTCATAGAACTATAAACTAAAAGATGGTTGAATTGCACACCTTACCTTATTTCTTAAAAAAAGAAAGAAAATAAATGCTGGTGTCTTCCCACACTGAAGCTTCTTCCAGTCTTGCAGCAATGGCCAAAGTAGAATAATTCCTGAACTCCAGGAAGGAAATGAGTTTATAAAGAACTCACCACATAAGCCAAGCCTTCTTCATTATCTGTTTGAAAGCGGTTGCCTTTACAAATGCACAATGCCAGCCTCCTAAGTGAGTTATTCTTTTGTTTTCTTCTATATTGGGTTCAGCAAGCAAGAAAAAAATAATTCCCAGTACTTGTGGAATATATTTTGTTTACCCCCTAAAAGACAACAAAAGGTTTTAGTAAGATGAAATTCTTTGTTTCTCATCCTTGGCCCTATGTACTTTTTCATCAGCATCAAATTTTCTTTATACTTCTTAAAGTAAATTACTCAATTTAGGCTATATAAGCTTTGGGAGCTAGTGGAATTGTAACCGAAGAGCTACAATGAGCCCCGAGGCCATCTAGTCTATATCCTGCACCGAGGAATAATTTATCATATCTTATTCCCCATACAGATTATTGTGCAGAGGTAAGCAAAGATGCACCATGCCTTAGCCATCTTTCAATAAAACAGCAAATCTAATACTGTAATATGCTGAGCTGCCCCTTTTGCTTAGCCAGGAAGTGTAAGACCTATGAGTAGCTGAGAGCGATTGACATAGGAATCCATTAATCAGAGCACCAGCACTTCCAAATGTTCATCTGATTCTGCAGAGTTGATAAGATCTGCTGCATTCACTGCTGCCAGTCAGAGTGGATGAAACTAGATTAGGTTGACCAACATAAGTTACTTTCAGGCAGCTTCATAGAATGCCTTGGTTTGTGTTGGAATGGGATGAGATTGTTACATTTCTTGCTGCTGAAGGTCATGGTATCATCCAAACTAGAAGAAGGTACTTGGCCAACTAGAAAGACAAGGACTCAAGTCCTTTCTCCATCCCCTTAGTTAACACAACTGTATTCTTAAAGTAGATTAACTAGATTTCTGAGCCAGGTGGAAGATACACCCTGCAAGAAATATGTAGCCCATGTGGCAGTCTCCCATAGAGTTGTCCCTTACGTATTGCCCAAAATGAGAAAACTAATTACAAAAAAAGCAAGAGATTTGCATAAAAATTGAATATGCTAACTAATGTGGAGAAAGGCAAATGTGCAAATAATTACTATAATTTACATTTTAGCGTAGTGGGGAAAACTGACCAGCAAACTGTTCATGGCGAAACTTGGGTCCAATAGAGGACTGTGCTTTGAAAGTCCCTCAAACAGAATATTGTCATCTGTAAAGGAGAATATTTCTTCACTCAGTTGAAGCCAGCTGCAAAGAAGCTTTGTTTGGCTTAAAGACTCTTTTCCCTGTACTTAAAGGTCAGGAAAGAGAAGTGGGCCATTTAGTTGCCCATGAGACCAGATTTGGCTTAAAGGCTGCTAGTTGCCTGGTTTATGGGTTTATCATTAAAAATATTTACACTCAGCCTTCATGTGTACGGATACAGAGGGTGGGGGGGCACACCATGAGCTCAGGTGTTTGACCTTCTGTTATCTGTCTTTGAAGAAAAAGAGTGGGCACTACAGGTAGATGTGTGTGTGTGTATTACACACACACACACACACATTTCTTTAGGTATATACGCTGGCTGGCATTTAAGCTCTGCAGTTCCCTTCTTTGCTTTCACAGAGGGTGGAGCAGGGAGCTCTTGAGAAAGCCTTGCCAGCTTCAGACCACCCTATGACATCTCTTCATTGCTCTCATCTATAGTCTCAAGAAAGCTTCACTGGCTTCAGATATCCCTGAAAGTGGGGGAACCAGAGAGACAAGTGAAAGGGATGGCTACCACCTGAAAGCATCCAGACACCTCGAGTGAGTTCTACCTGGCAACTTCTTCTGCTGACTTCAGCCTGCCATCTTTCCATATCCACCATTCATACACATACACACATCATTTCTCCTGACCGCAACTGAAACCTCCCATTTTTATAGGGGCCATTCATACACACAAGCATACACCAGCCTACATCCATGAAAAACACCAGCAAAAAATGTTCATACATTTTTCACTCTCCACCAGTTCATATTCATGCCCTGGCTTCAACTCACAAATATCCACCAGCTTCTGTTGACTAGCTTCCAAAGGTGAAA